ATTGTTTGTTTCAAATCAATGGCACTGTTTGGACCGCAACTATCCCTGGACCATCTGCCATCATCTCGGAGCAGCTTGAGGCGGTTGACAACATCGTTGGCCAAAGACACTTCTCTTGTGCTGCCATCTGCCGACAAGACCCTGCTATCACAACTAACAGTGGTGGCAATAAAGCATATACAAGGAAACAACAAAACAACGAGCACACTAACAATACCGCCAAGTGTGACAACTTTGTTAAAAACATTGGGATTTCAAATTTGTGTTCAGCCAGGTAATGGGCGCTGTTCCACAGAAGGAATGATGATGAGTTAACGACCTTGATACTTGGACCGGAGCTTGTACTTGTAACGTTGAGGGATTCGTTACAGTCGAATAGACATGCGGCAGCCAGTTGGTATAGACGGCAGCGTGTAGGTCTGATTGCGGACGTGGTGCATTAGCTGACTCGCTTTCGCTGAAGTTGTAATAATAAATCAACTCATCAATTGATGAATAGGCACCAAATGTTAGGCATTGATGATCAGCAAGGGATACAGTAGACGAGTACTACATTCACTGGAGAGGCTGTCGCGCTTAATGCAACAACATTTATAATCCATGCCTACAAGTATGTATCATCGTTGCACACCTCCTTTCCGTCCTTAACTCTGTGAAAAAACACACCGATCCAATGTTTCGGGTGCTGACAGGGTACCGTTTGTCTTTCGTGGAATGAGATGCTCGGATACCTAAGTATTCGGAAGAGGTGAGGTAGTTCCAGCAGCGACAAGAGCAGAGCCAATACATGCAGTGATCATGGGGCAATAAGCAGTAGAAAAAGAAGTACAACAACTTTCGTGTGGTCAGGCTGCCTCGGCAACTGATGCTTAGCTGAAGAAAGGGGCGCTTCCAAGGCTTTAGACACTGTCTTGTGCACGATCCTTGCAAATGGCCATTTTGTATCGCTCGCAAGGTCATCAGGAGACAGAACGGCCAGTTAGTCATCAGTGACTGGCTGCCCTCTCTACATATGTTGCAAAATATACACACTAGCCCCTTCCGCAAGCCTCCCCGTAGCATAAAGTCAGCAATATGGGTCCAATGGTCGCGAGTCACAGGCATATCAAGTGCGTTGCAATGATACAGGCAGTAAATATTGAAGGTGCTTTTCTTTGATAGAGTCATTGCAAGTGATCTCCAAAACTCGCCACTACCATTCAGTCTTTCAGCCGATTACAGCAAATCGGCCAAACGGACTGGCCATGATTCACTATGTCAAACACGTGAGCTCATTTCCCGACATCATAGAGCACCGTAATCTTAATCTAGATCTCTTGATCTCAATTGATATACCTAAACCACACAGTACTCATCTTCACATCTGTGCCGCTTTCACATTTGAAAGCCCAAAGGCAACAGTGAGGTGAATCCACTCCCACTGTTTTAATCCATGTCTCTCCCTAAAACCAGGGAATCATTTGTCTCTGGTCAGTAAAAGCTGTGAACTAGCAAGCATTCCCAGTCTCCCAGCTTGTTGTCATGTAGGTGGGGTTGACGATGAATTTAGCTGTGTGTATTTCTTACATTCGCCAATGGCAGGTTTGACTTGTGAGGCGAAAGTGAATACTCGTTATTAGCACCGAGTCAGTGACACGTCCAGAACTCCGTCGATACGGGAACATCTGAATTCGGCGATTCGGAAGTAGTCACCAATGCTTATTCGGTTGCATTCCAACATGGATTCTAGATAAGTGACAAACAAGACTACACTCATTCCCACAACCGTAACTTTTGCCATTAACAGAACACCTGTAAGACAAGCGTGGGCTCTGTAGAGGCTGCTCCGATGTCATTCGAATCTAATGAACATAAAAGTAAATCTTAGGGAAGCTACTCCACTAGAAGAATCATCAAATTCCGGCTATGTTCATTCATGAGCTTATGAGTTGTGGCATGAAATGGTGTTTTTGAATCTAAGGCGATTAAGTACTAGATGAGAGCCATTTCTTACGGAAGTTACTAGCGGGTAGAGCATCAGGCATCCAACTGCGATTTTCTCCTTAATGCCCCCTGGCGCGGGAATGATCATGGGGTCTATAAGGTGAAGCACAAACAACAGCTTAGGAGTCCTGGTTGTTTGAAAGACTGATGATCTCGGCGTAACAGTTAAGTAGGCGTTGAGATTAGCAACAAGAAACTCCAGTCCCCATCTGCGGGAAGGCAACAACCTTCTAAGCAGAAACATGTAGCCCAGGCGACCCGCTCGAGCGTGATAGGCTTGGCCAGCTGGGAATACCGCTCGGTGCCCTTTTCGCACACGCTATCCTTGTGGGCTCTCACTAATCTGACGGGTCCTTTGGCTATGGGATGTTGAAGGTCTTGTAGAGAAACTTCATGTGATCCGTAGCGTAGATGGTCTGGCACATTGCCATAAATGCGCCGATGTCTTTGTCGCTCTGTAAATGGGCCATGCGTACTTGATCTTAAGTGCCTCGAAGGCTTTAGAGGTTGGTGCGCCTGCAGAGGGAAAGGAAGGAAAACTCTACAATTCTTCGAATTGCCGGTTACAAAATACATAGAGCGAGAAGGTAGCGATACATCTACTGGGGTGGCATCTTTGCTAGTACAATATCAGTGATAAGCAGCCTACTGCTCATGCAGTGGCGTAGCGCAGAGTTCATTTTTTCTAGTATAAAAGCAATGAGTTTATCGGCCTGTTCCTAGCTATAGTGGGTGGTCGGGGTTTTGTCTTTTGGCTCGGAGTCAAAGCTGTTCTTGTTATTGTGTCTCAATTGGCTCACCAATAGCGATCGTTAAATGTGGTTCGTAGAGAGTGAGATCATTTGGGACTAGGTTCAAAGTTGTGAATAGAATTGTAAAATTAGGAGAAGTCTAAGATCAAGGGCGATCACAGGCAATAAGGAAGCAAAAATAAAGAGAGTGAAAGAATGAGGCCGGCAGCGGCAAAGTAAACAGGAATGACTAGTGATTAAATGTGTATATTGTTAAGCCGGACTCTTAGGACTCTTTGAAAAATGCATGCTTTGTTCGGGCGTCGAATCTTCTCTTGCACATTGGTTTAAGGGCCTTAAACCAAGTCAACCATCATGCCATGTTTCAGCTGCGTGGGTTACGGGAGTTTTCCCTTCAGGCACCATCCCATTAAGCTCACGGTGCTACCGCGTTATTGATTGTTAATACATGTGGAAGCGTGCATTTAAAGACTGACTCGTGACATTTTTCCATGTCCTCGGCCTTGTAGATAGTCACACGGTCAAGATCTTCACCGACGGCATAGTCGCGTGCTTTGGACTGGTGAAAATCGATGATCGTGGTGGCCCCAAATAGGAGAGCCTATTCCCTTGCTTCATCGCCACAGCATTGCTCTACTAGGATGAGTCAGGATCAGAGCACTGGTATATAGAAAGCGTAAGAAGGGCGTTGTCAGCGGCACCCTAAAGCTAGGCGCACTTAGTCCAAGTCCCCTCCAGGTCCTTAATATACAGTTTGTTCCGATTAGTGTACTGGAGACTTGACCGAATCGCCATCTGGAGTCAAGGAAGCATCGCCATGCAACTAATCAACAGGTTGAATGGTCGCTGGCAATGTGATTCGAGACATTTCTAAAATAGCACTTAATTGGCAGTCGTTTTCTCTGCTATAATTGAACCGTTTGATGAAGACATCCAGGCCAATCCTCCGCAGGCATCAAAAGCTGCACATGGACTACTCCCGCCCAGTCTGAAGAGAGTGTTCCTACCTACTCAATCCTAAGGGTATGGAAACAGTGCTTTGGATTGCTTAGGCCGACTTATGGCATACGCATACCCGATGAACGAGGGCTCATGTTGATCGCTTAAACAGAAAATTACAAGGTGCACATTGCAAGAAATTAATGACCATAACGAGACTGTCACTCAAGCCATTGCTGAGACGCTTTAACGTGCTGCCGAAGACCAAGTCGTGTCATCATCTCTCTGGGTTGTTAGCTTGTTGATACGGTCTCGATAATCGGGTGATCAACACTTATTGACGTTGGGGTTCTCTATGCTCTTCCTCTAGCAAAGGACTTAGCATGAGTCACATTACCGCATCTCACAGCTTTGCAATCACATATTTCTTATTCAACATGGGGGTAGTATTTCTAACGAACAGATATATATAGATATATGCGGAGTGACATAACACCATTCGTACTACGCAAGCATCATAAAGTGACCCGTTTGTCGTCGCTAAGAGTTAGATAAATGTTGGTAGATAAGGCGAAGAAGGCATACTGGACTTATGTTATCTCCAACCTAGTCTGGGAAAATGGAAGACCAGCATTTGGAATTCTCTCTGTGTAAACGAACAGTTGATGCTTGGTGGTATAACGCGCTCTGTGAATGTCGTTGTCTTGAGCATTGGAGCACTCTTGATCCCAGGTCAGAAGAAAAGTTTCGTCTGTCCAAGTGAAGTTGGCCCTGTAGAAATGAACGGTACGCTGGGTGTTTCCTTAGTCATGTAGTTCTTTAAGACTGACATATTCTGAAGCGAAGTAGCGCTAAATGCACAGGAGTGTACCGAGTTGACTGTTCTCTGTCAATGAAGAACTTCATACAGAGTTTAGTTGGCTTGTCTGGGAAGATAACGTCTACAATGACGTAATTCTTGTCATCATGTTGCAAGTGCAGGATCAAGACAGTCGGGCATGAGGTCATTGTTATCTCCACCTGTTCTAGGATATAATGCACTAGGCTGAGCAGACCGATGAGTACTTCGTGATGAACATGGAAGTCGAGACAGAACAAAGCCAGACCAACATTCTGGACCAGTGAATCAGACCAATGTAGTAGAGCGGAAGGTACGGTCTGTTGCCATAGGCTCACACTCGTACTTGCCGTCTATAAAGGTCTTCAGTGAATGTAATCTCGTATCTTATCGACCTACGCGTTACCCATTGTGGTAATCGAGCAAGCAATTGCGTACCAATGTTATAATGTATGATTTGTTGCCAACATCAAAACAAAGACTGATTAGGTCGGATAGTGTAAAGGCGATCACATCGGATTTTGATTCCGAAGATCTGGGTTCGAGTCCCAGTTTGACCTTGTTTTTTCTTGCTGTTTTTCTCTTTTCCTTCATTTTGTCTTTAGATTGTAGTAAATATCATGTTCTTTGCATTCTACTATCTTGCACTTCACCTCACGTGCGCTCGTCTGATACATTCTGTTGCATCTTAAGCATTATTCAAGAGTCGGTTAAGGGTAAACACACGAAGATCGATCACTTAACACAGACATCATCAAGGGCCAGGGAGACTAAAACTATCACCTTGGAAGTTGGATAGTTATCTAGTAGGTTATGAGTCACTGATTTTGTTTAGTTTGTGTCTGTCGTGGACGCAATTCGGATACATGCAATTTAGCAGTAACAATGTCATTCTCTTGACAACTCAGTCAGAATACGTATGCGAACGAGGGGCGATACATAGCAAATGAAATTTCAAGGTTGAAACCTTCACTATCACATATGAACAATTTGGCAAAGAGAACGTGGATAGCGCGTACGCTGAGGCCGTAGCGATAGATCTGTGAGGACATTGATGCTCTAGTCAGTGAAGCCAGATCAACTACCAACCGCAATATGAAGGACAAGCCTGTCACTCAATTCGTTGTTCAAGGAGAGTTTGCCATGTACCATGCCTGATACATGACTTCAGCTACAGGACACTGAGGTAGCAATGCTTGTTTTGTATGTCCAATCATGAAATGTGACTGTAAATAGATCAATATACAAAGAGCTCTCTGTGTTCGTCCAGTTTCGTGCTTCTATTGACCTCCAAAGGTCTATCTACATAGATCTCGCAATACCGTCGTCTCCTTCTCTAAACATCCACGCTATTTGCCTCTTACTTACACTAAGAGATAATGCTGTAGTGCTCAGATCTAGGAATTCCTCTGTTTGACTCAGGTCTCTCTACCCTCTAGGCATGACACCTAGTTCATGCCAACAAGCAAAGGCTTTGTTGATTATGTATTAACTGTCTTGGCGATTCAGCAATTTTTCCTCGCAAAACCTGGTCACCAAAAACTCAGCACCCCAAGTCCAGAGCTATGTTTCTCTACAAGCTCACCAATCCGCGTTTGCCTCTTACGGTGTTCCACTCTATCTTCATTGCCACACCTTGTTCAATGCACTGACACAACACTTATTGACAGTCATCTGCCGTCAGTCTTGGCTTATGACCTTATTACGACAAAGGCAATGTCGATGTCAAGGAATGGAAGAAGGATAAAACAGGTCGACAAACGATTTGATACACATACCACGCGAACGTGGCTCCAACAAGAACCAAAGCACGGAGTTGAATATCAAACGCAGTTATTGATTGACTCCCCCTCCATATTTAGTATCGTCATCAGAAGATCTTTAGGATTTTACATAGAAACGTTTCAGTTGGCGTACAAGCATCAACCTTGACGGCATTGCATGTTGTTCTCCAATGGTTTAGATACTGGGACCTCCGCATTGTCTCTCTCCTCGCTCATTGTGGCTCTATTTGTTGGTTGTCTTCAATAACCTTTAGTGCATACCCCTTTTGCCGCCCAGTACACGGTGACTACCAAGACCCGCGCATGTATCTTGCAGACTTCTCACATCAAAAGACCGGGCATGCCTCTGCCGTGATATCCCTGAGACAGCACCAAGGCGCCACAATGTCCACTCCTCGCAATATTAGCCCCATTGACATATGCCTATGCAGCATGCTTATTCATCTCCCTGCAGAAGAAGTCCTTGAGCTCAAAGAGTTGTGGCGAACATGGAGTTCTGCAGGCTGGCGAGGTCAGGCAATCCTTACGGACCATTCCATCCGTTCGCCACAACGATGATCTATCAGGGGTAAGGGACAGCACATCGATCTCAGGTTCATCTCGACGTAGATGATCGGCATTAATGCATGAGCATGTGCAGAGCGACGAAGACTTCGGCCCCGAATGCAGTTCAGTATATGTCACAGGCGAGACAGGCCAGAGACAGGCCTCACGCGAAAGCAGTTTGAAGAGTGGCGCAGCCTGAACAGGGAGCTTGATGATTATGCAGATTTGTTGTCAGCCACTGTAGTACAGATCTCAAGGCTTGCCACGCTTGGCGTTGCAGTTGGTTCGCTTGTTGACCGCTATTCTCCTTGTTGCTTTCTGTCACCATCCCTGTTGCTGTTGATTGACGTTTATTGATTCAGTATCTTCTAACCTTGAAAAACTGGAACCGAGACGGTTAACTGCAGAAGATCGTGGCAAGACCGGGAGATCCTGGCGAGGCCGCGAGGCCGGAGGAAATTCCGCCAGTCATATTCTTGAGAATAAAGCCTCTTTCTCAAGGGATGGTTTCTCGTTCCAAGGCAGACGACCACATAATGTTGAATGGGCAGTAATACGCGATCTGATCATGTACTTAAGTCTCATAGTACATATCCAATGGACAGAATGAGGCTCAGATCCCCGATAGATTGCAGGGGTGCAGATGGCAACTTAGCATGTGCTTGCACCGAGCAATTACAAATTTGAGCAGAAACAAAAAGTGTACGTGTGTAAAATGCTTTGAGGGATAAAAGTATATGATGAGCGGCGAGAAATTTGGGAGAAAGGTACGTCGTCACGGAAATCTCAATCTTGGCTGCAGCTGCAGTACTCTTGTGTCCGCCGCAATGTTTGCAACCAAGTACCCAACAAGCTAAACATCTTTGAACCATCGTAGTGAAAGGGGGTGCCTTTCAAGATGACCAATCAAACATGTAAAAGTGAGAGAAATAGATATGGAAACTCAAATACGGCGCAAAGCGTAACATTGAAGCATAAGCTATAAACCTCCAAACTCGTCACGTCAGAAAATGAGCACCTGCAGCTATATTCTAGCCTGCCAGTGGGGAGTTAGCGTCAGCGGGAAGGTCGATCTCAGCCAGAGGCTCAGCCGCGTTTCTTTTCTGATTAGTCAACCAATCGACCGACTGGAACACATTCGAGACACTTGAGTGAGGTGGTCTGACACTTGATAGCCAACTCTGGACAACCTTTATCGCCGAGCAGGTCTGCAGATACCATACAGTACAGATGTACAGGCGATTCTAAAGCGAGAGCTTAAATGGGGAACTAATGATCCGAATGCGGAATACCACAGACTAGGGGTTGCCTCAGCCACCAGTGCTATGGTATGGAGAGTCGAGACCGCCAAAGGATCACTTATGCTTAATTTTGGATGCGGTCTAGAACAGCGCACATTTCCCAGCTATGCATAAGAAGGATGCGAACGGGATGGCACGTCTGTGACTACGTCATACGGAGTGAAGGCAGAATCTCTCGCCTGGATGCCACGTCATTTCGTTCAGGGCTTAGATAACACATCTAGTATGACATGAAGTCGTGATGCCCAAAGACTCGTACATCGGTTTCATCTGAGCTGCTTCAGTACGGATCTTGACTGGTGACGAAGCAGATGATGTCAATGAAATATGTAGAATTCAATCGTGCTAGCTTTAGACGCGTGGGTATTTAATGTCGCGCAACAGTTGTATTACTATGAGACTGCTCGCAACACCAAGGAGATTTGGTTGATACTGATACGAAGTTGAGGTATTTGTATTACATGTAATGTATACACACTAGGGTGCGTGATGACGCTCAGCAAATGGGCGAGAGACTCGAATGCCGAACAAAGGCCTTGCGCGGCACGAACGCAAAACCCTATCTCAATAGACATGTCGCATGTGTGAGTTTCTCCAGGATAAAAGGTATAAGAGGCATAACTACATCTCTCAAGCTGTAGTTTCCGCGAGGGGGTTTCTCGCAGCATAAGCTCGAGCTTGGCTGTCTGCAAATAACCACACTGCGGATGTGCGGTGGACTCAACAAAAATTCGCTCGCTGGACTGTTTGGTGGCTGGTAGCTACGAGCAGTCAAACCCCCATTCCAACCTTGGACAAAAAGGCGTCAAGGCTGCAAGCCAAATTTCTGTGGGATCGTGCGTTCCGAAGAGGCATACTGTAAGGTCATCTGCGGACACAAAGATCGGTTCGGATGATCCATTTTTGGCCAGAGACCACCTCCCGACCCTCATGCTGGTAGGAACGCGGAGAATCAGTTTTGTACGTATCGAATAAGAAAAAGTGCATCAGGACAGCGATGCGAAACCATGCCGAACACCTGGATTCCTTACCAAAAGACAGTCATTGCCATGCTTGTGAAGGAGAATCTTCCCTGTCTCGGGATCGATGACAATTTCTTCTGCTGCTAATTTGCGATCATTGGCATAGAAAACTGTTTCACCACCTTGACAACCCTCAGTGACAGACGTTAAATAAAGTAAGGCGGTCCACGTTGTTTTGGCATTGATGATCTCTGAACCATTTTCGGAGGGAACGCTGACTAGATTGTAATCATCATCTACAAGCTGTCAGTTAGTCTTGAACTAGCAGATCTAGAATGTACGACGACGTCGAGGCTATGTGTCTTGGATGGCGGATAAGGCTTGAATGGCAAGAGTGAGCTAGACCAGTAAGATGAGAGCCTAGCAGACCCGTTTGACAGCTTGGTTGAAGGCAGGGCGGCACAACTAAGAAAAGCCAAAATTCGCGGGATCGCTTACAATGGCAGTCAAAGAACTGGCCTGGGGAATAGCGATATATTCGAATGTTGGGGTTCAGCCCTATAACTTCTCCGCCCCTATACCACGTCAGCAAGTCCTAGAGTAGTATTCGAGATAGCACGTTGGCTAAGCAGGGTCAAGATGGGTGACCATGTAAAATGGGAAGATACCAAAGATTCCTGACGGATTCCTGTAACACCGCCTCTTTCAGCCCAGTCTGCAGCCAGAGCCTCTGAGCAAATTGAGGGTCGTCAACCTGGAAGCGATCGTTCGACCTAGTAGCTTCTCCACGTTTAGGCTTGCCAGGGGTAGTGGACAAAGGGAGACCGGCCAGAAAAGCCACATAGTCTCGGCAAAGCGACTTTGGGAAGAAGTTCCGAATTGCAACGATCTGGTCCTCAAATCCTGGCGCTGGGTGATCAAATGAGAGCTGGACGACGGGCAACCGGGGCTTAAATGTCGGCCAGCT